GAAGACAAAGTTATGCCTGACCCAACCAACAGTATTTTCAATCACCTTATATGCATGTGAGAGCTGCACAATGAATAAGGAAGACTGAAGAAGAGATGATGCTTTTGAGTTGTGGTGCTGGCGAAGAATGCTGAAGGTACCATGGACTGCCAAAAGAACTAATAGATCTGTCCTGGAGGAAGTGCAGCCGGAATGCTCCTTGGAAGCGAGAATGGCCAGACTTCATCTCATCTACTTTGCTCAAGTTGTCAGAAGGACCATTCCCTAGAGAAGGATATCATGCTTAGTAAAGTGGAAGGTCAGTGAAAAAGGGGAAGGCCCTCAACGAGATGGACCGATGCAGTGGCTGCAATGATGGACTCAGGTATTAGCAAGTATTGTGAAGCTGTGCAGAACTAGGCAGTTTCTTTCAGTTGTACACAGTGTTGGTATGAGTTGGAGGTAACTCAAAGGCACCTAACAACAACAACACATCAACAAGATGTATTGACACGTGGCTGCAACGATGGGCTCAAGCATAAATAAGATTGTAAGGATGGCACAGGACCAGACAGTGTTTCATTCTGTTGTACACTGGGTTGTTATGAGTTGGAGCTGATTCGATGGCTCCTAACAACAGCAATAAGACCTAATACAGAAATGAATGTGGTTTACACAGCAGCTCTAAGACACACCTAAGAGCTTTTTCATAGGAAGAAACAAAAAAGGACTTGTTAGGCTCTGTCAGTATCTCATAGAACCTCTAGAGTACATGTCAAGAATAGCATTACCGTTAATCACCTAAATTAAAAGAATATCATCTGGTTCATAAGGCCATGGTTTGCACTCAGGATCCTGAAGTTCCCTGGGGTCCTCAGAAGATGGAGGGTAAGATGGTAGTAGTGGTGGAGGGGTTGAGGTCTGAGTTCCCCTACCCTCACTTCAACCCAAGCAGTGTAGATTTGATGCTCTATATACTGGAGTTCATTTAAAATGCTTAGAAAAAGTTTCTGCTGCTAAAAAAAAAAAAAAAATCAAAACTCACCATGATGATATAAGATCCTTATATTTTGTATTCTACTGTTGATGAATTTGGAATAATCATGTTTGAGTATTCACACTGACTAAAATATTTCAAATAAGTTGTCATGTTTATTTGCTAGTTAGAAAAATCCAGTCTAATATCTATAGACTTTCAATAGTTTAAAAAAATGTTGTCAGTTGGCATTGAAATGGTTCCAATTCATAGTGACCCTGTGTGTAACAGAACAAAACACTACCCAGTCCTGCACCATCCTCACTATCATTGTTCTGTTTGAGCTCATTGTTGTAGCCACTGTGTTAACCCAACTTGTTGAGGGTCTTCCTCTTTTTTGTTGACTGCCTACTTTATCAAGCATGTTGTCCTTCTCCAAAGCCTGTTTCTCCTGATAACATGTCCAAAATCATGAGACAAAGTCTTGCCACCCTCACATCTAAGGAGCATTTTGGCTGTACTTCTTCCAAGACAGATTTGTTTGTTCTTCCAACAGTCCATAGTAAATTCAATATTCTTCACCATAATTCAAAGGCATCAGTTCCTCTTCATTCATTCTTAATCACTGTCCAGATTTCTGATGAATATGAGGCTACTGAAAATACCATGGCTTGGATCAGGTTCATCTTAGTCCCCAAAGTGACATCTTTGATTTTTAATACTTTATGTTTTCTTTATGTTGAGGTGTAATCCATATTAAAGACTGTAGTCTTTGATCTTCATTAGTAAGTACAAGTGCTCTTCTCTCTCAGCAAGGAAAGTGTATTCTCTGCATACTGCAGGTTCATAAAGAGTTTTCCTCCAACCCTGATGCTGTTTTTCTTTATATAGTCCAGCTTCTCAGATTATTTGCTCAGCATACAGACTAAATAAGTATGGTGAAAGGATACAACTCCGATGTACATCTTTCCTGACTTTAAACAACACAGTATCACCTTCTGTTCAAATGACTGTTTCTTAGTCTGTATACACATTCCTCATGAGCACAAGTAAGTGTCCTGGAATTCCCATTCTTCGATGTTACCCATAATTTGCCATGATCTACATAGCTGAATGCTTTTGCATAGTCAATAAAATACAGGCAAACATCTAGCTGGTGTTCTTTGCTTTTGCCAAGCATGTTCTTCCCTTTTGGTTTTCTAATTCCAGGTCTTTGCACATTTCATTAAATACTTTGTCTTCTCATACTGCCCTTTGATATCTTTTGTTCAGCTCATTTACTTCATCATTTCTTCCATTTGCTTTAGCTACTCTACATTGAAGACCAAGTTTCTGTCTTCTGACATCCATTTTGGTCTTTTCTTTTTAATGACCTTTTGCTTTCTTCACATATGATGTCCTTGATATCATCTCACAACTTATCTCATCTTCAGTCGTTAGTGTTTTATGCATCAAATCTACTCCTCGGATGGTCTCTAAATTCAGGTGGGATATACTCAACATTGTACTTTGGCCTCTGGTGGAATTATTTTAATTTTCTTCAGCTTCAGCTTGAACTTGTACATGAGCAAGCAATAGTTTGTTCCACAGGTGGCTCCTGGCTTTGTTCTCTTATGATACTGAGCTTCTACAGCCTCTCTTTCTGCAAATGTAGCTTTGATTTCTGTGTATTCCATCCAGTGAGGTCCATGTCCATAGCCGCCATTTATGTTACTGAAAAAGGTAAGTCATTGGTCTTGCAAAATTCTATCATGTGATCTTTGGTGTCATTTCTATCACTAAGGCCATATTTTCCAACTACTGATCCTTCTTCATTTCCAACTTCACATTCCAACTACCACTAATTATCAGCGCATCTTGATTTTATGCTTAATCAATTTCAGACTGCAGAAATTGGTAGAGTTCTTCATGTTTGGCATTAGTAGTCAGTGGATAAATCTGAGTAATAGTCATATTAACTGGTCTTTCTTGTAGGTGTACAGACATTATCCTATCACTGATAACACTCTACTTCAGTAAAGATCTTGAAATGTTTTTTGACAATGAATATAATGTCTTTCACTTTGTCATTACCAGCAAAGTAGATCATATGACTGTCTGATTCATAATGGCCAATACCAGTGCATTTCAACTCACTAAAGCCTAAGATATTGATCTTAAGACATTCCATTTCATTTTTTACAACTGCCAATTTTCCTTGACTCATACTTCATACATTTCATGCTCCAATTTTAACGTATGTTCGCATCTGCTTCTTCTCATTTTGAGTTGTGCCACATCAGCAAATGAAGGTTCTGACAGCTCTGCTCTATCCGTGTCAATAGGATTGACAATGCTCTGAGGAGGTAGCTCTTCACCAGTTGTATTTTGAGTGCCTTCCCACCTGAGGGGCTCATCTTCTGGCATTATAGCAGAGAGTGTACCACTGCTATTTATAAGGTTTTCACTGGCCAATTTTTTCAGAAGTAGATTGCCAGATCTTTCTTCCTAGTCTGCCTTCATCTGGAAGCGCCATTGAAAACTGTTGGCCATGGGTGGCCCTGCTCGTATTTGAAATACCAGTGGCACAGCTTCCAGCATCACAGCAGTACGCAAGCCACCACAAACTGACAGATAAGTGGTGTTAAAAAAATAAAAATGGATTCCTTTATTTCCTGAGGTCAGCAATAAATGTGTTACTTTTAAGGAGTTGTTTCTGATGCATTAACATGCTACAAATTTCTGATAAGAATTTCACCAATTTATGTAATTTTTCTGAAGAGTGTTATTTTAAATTTTCAGTTTATAATGAGAGTTTATTTCATCTAAACTGATCTATGCACTTATACCTTGTCCTGGTGGCACAATGGTTAAGAGCTCAGCTGCTAATGAAAGGACAATGGTTTGAACCCATCAGTCGCTCTTAGGGAGAAAAGCCCTGGAGATCTGCTCCCATAAAGAGGTCAGCCTAGAAAACCTTAAGGGCAGTTCTACTCTGTGCTATAGGGGTGTTAGGAGTCAGAATTGATTCAGCAGCTCACAGCAGCAATAGCAACATAATAAATGCAGACTAGAATAGTCAAAACTAAAATTCATCAGAGCTAATGATGTTTTCCTTCTTTCTCAGTATAATTTAAATATCCACTTGCACATAAAATGCCTATCAAAAAAATACAG